AGTCATCCCTGAGCTCTAGAGCTATGTCTTTACTTGATAAAGTCATTTTCACTTGGATTTTACCAGTACCTTAAATATCCCTAAACCCAGCTTACTGTCTTTTTTGTCATTTTTTAATTACCAGAACTTAAATACACAATAAGAAAAGAAAAAGAAACATATTATAAACTTTTAAAGCTTGAATACAAAATAAGAAAAGAAAAAAAAGCACATCCTGTGCACAACAGAATGTAAGAGAGGATTCAAACTATGTAGCAATAAACTTTTGTTTCAAGAAAGCCTGTATAGTAAACACTATGTATTGTGTTGAGAGCTCTGCTCCTCGTTGTCTTTAGTTCCTTTAACTTTTCCTTCTTCTAACTTATTTATGTAAGTGATGCCACCCAGTCTTCAGGTGTTATCTTTGACTTTTCTCACCTTTATTTCCCTTATTCAGGCAGTTTTTTCCTTTTGTAGATCTTGCTCATCTGTCCTTAAGTAACCTGTCCCACTACCTCCTCATTACCCTCTGCAAAGATGAGTGCAATAGGCAAGCTCAAGACAGGTCTTCAGGTTCTATTCTACCTCCGGTCCATCATTAACAGTGCTGCTGCCACCTTATTCAGAGATTGGGCCGTGTCACTCTTCTGCTCAGAATCCTTCACTTGCTTCCTGTTACATATTTAATAAATTTGAATTTTTTAGTCTGATATTCAAGCTCCTCTACAGGCTTAGATATCTTACAGCCCTGTGTTTTTAGTTTTATTTTATGTTACTTCTATCTATTTATTTTATGCTATAGTCAAACTAGAGTGTTTGTGGTCCCTTATATAGGTTCTGTGCTTTCCCACCTCCCTGCTAGTGTTCTTATGCTTAGAATCTCCTTCATCCTCCTTCCTCTTTTTTTTTTTAGAGAGGGGTTTCAAGGCAACATTGCACTGCAAGGATTTCTTTCATTCATTAATTTGTTCAGAAATCAATCAGCAGGCATCTCTCATGTACCTGCTGTGGTTCAGGCACTGTGCTAGACATTGGAGATGAAAGGACAAATGAAATTTGAAATAGTGAATGAAAGAAATAGTCTGTTTTAAAGGAGCTTCTGTGCTAGAATGGGTGACAGCCCGTGCATGTTTAAGTACATATAAAATAAGTACAATCTTATGGGGCAGGGGAGGTGCTCGCAGATGAGGGCCCAGGAGAGGCCTCATGGAGGAGGTGGAGAGATAAAGCCCAAGTTCCAGACTCTATGTACTCCACAGAGAAATATGTCCATTTTGACACATCTGAACATTTGAAAACTCTGCCATTCTCCTTGCTAGAGGCAGAATGGATTTCTTTCAGAGAAATTTAATCGAGCCCCAAACTACATTACAGAACCAGAATACAAATTTGGGCAGAGAGAGGAAAGAAGTCGATTTGGTCATTTTCTCTTAAAAGGAATCACGTTGATGAAGAGGTTAAAGCAGAGCTTCATACTGGGTCAATGTCCCAGTGGGTGAAGGGAATCTTGGGGATTATTCTCTGTAATTAGGATCTCCCCTTACCTCCCAATCAAGCAATCAGATCTGACAGAATTGAGGGTTGTCTCCCTAATCTCCATGGGGAGTAGAAAAAAAACATAACAGATGGCTTAAAAGATTGCACAGACTGACACTATTGGTTGAGTGGGAAAAGAGCTATAATGAGCTGAACTGGAAATATAAAAGGCTTCTACGAGATGGGGCTAGCCTCAAGGCAGGTTTATATCAGGTACCTCAGGGCCAGAGTGAGTCAATAAATCTCATTCTCCGAGGGCAAAGGTGGGTACCACAAAGCCCTGGAACTGTCCATCATCTGTGCATGACAGCAGTCAAGCTCATCTGCAACTGGCAGAGGCTTCAGGCCTTGACACAAGGTGGTTTGGCTGTGCAATGCCCATGATGGAGATCCTTACTGGCCAACATGGCCCACCACTTTGGGTAGGTATAGGAATAATTATATATGTGATGTGACCATCCTGAGATTTGCTTACAATACTACACTTATACAGAATTTTAGGGATCACTTGACTGGCATCTCCCCCTACTGTCTACCACTGATAACGGTGGGGTCCCAGTGCTACAGACCACTCTTGGGAGTGTTCCACATGGTGGACTGTGTTCGATGGGCTTATCCCCTTCATATCATACTTAATATCAGATTTCCCTTTGAAGAGCTAGCTCCAGCCCGCTATGAACTGTCTTCTTTACTTTAAAGCTGCATTCTCTCAGGGTTGTAGTTGTGGTAGCCCAAATTGCTTGACCCCCTCCCCCCCCACATAGTGACCTACTTATTAAATGTGTACTAGACACTGTGAGGTTTTATTTTATGGGATCTGTGCTTCCATCAGTGTGGGGAGTTCCTGCTGAGGAGCTTCTTGGATCAGTGCAAAGACAGAAGGGTGTGTGTGTGTGTGTGTGTGTGTGTAGCTGGGAGCTATATGAACTAGCTCAGGGTCACCCAGCTGTATTTGACAGGACTTGAACCAAGTCTTTATAACTCTGAGGCTAGCTCTCTATCCATTATACCACACTGCCTCTCACTGTGAGAGAATTGTGCTAAATTTGGCACAGTCCTTGCCTTTCAGGAGCTCAGTCCAAGAGAATGAGGGATAAAATATGCACACAGAGAAGTGTAACAGTGGTCTTGTGTAAAGACCATTGGATTTAGAGTCCATAATAGGCTTTGCCACTCTGACTAAAAATTTAGGCAAGTCATTTCATCATTTCCTCTGCTGAAGTCCCCTCCAGCTCCAAACCCTGTGACCTGAGAAGAACACAAAGTTCTAAGAAATCAGATGAGGGATGAATCATTGTTGACTTGGAGGAGGGGGAGGTGGTATCAGGGAAAGTTGTGGCATTTTAACTGGGTCTTTAAGGATGGACAGAACGTCAGCACATGGAAATGAGGAAGAGGGAAAGTAGAGACATATGAGGAAGAGGGAAAGTAGAGGCAATCCAGGTGTTGGAAATTGAATGAGCCAAAGCCCAGAGGCAGGAAGACTTGAGTGAGTGAAGGAGGCTTCAGCCATATTAATTCTGTCACTTTTAACAAAGGAGTGTTTCCCTCAACTCTCCCCTGAAACCTGAATGTAGTCTGATCTGTTTTGTGTGCTAATTTATTGTTACTTTGAGCAGAAGATGGTGCATTATACTGATTTTGAACAATTAACAACTCTAATTATTAGTATCTTTATTTTGATGGGACATTTACTTTATTGCAAATCATATAATTATATAAACTGAATCATATAAACTGAAAGGATACTTGGTTCTGTTTCTTACTGTTCCATTGACTAACTGTGTGACCTTGACCTGGGTCATTTGGCCTGAGTGTCCTAAATGAGGAGGTTGGCCCAGGTGATATTAAAAGTTTGATTAGCTTTTGTAATTCTAAGATTTATGATTTAAATGCTCAAATTTAAACTTGATAGGAAAGTTAAGGAACTGTAGATCTAAGAATTCTCTGATAATCAAAATTCAGCCTCTGGGGGTTATATTTTAGGACTTAGCTTATGGAAGATGTATAGATAAGAGTAATTTCATATCCTTTTGAGTTCATTTCATAAAGTAAGCATGTGCTAAATGCATCAAATCTGTTGCAATGCTACTACTCTGGTGGGAGCAAGAGAAGGAAGGGTAGTAGTAAAGGTACCTTCCATCTACTTGACTGGTACCCTGGTACTTTTTAAAATCTTTTATCTTTGTCTGAGCGGCATCATGTAGTGGAAAGAGCCACAGTGCATTTAGAATCAGAAGGCCTGGATTGGAATCTTAGCTCTGGTATTTACTGCCCATGTGACCTTGGGCAAATCGTTTTAAATCTCTGATCATGTTTCCCCATATGTAAAATAGGAGATAAATGATATTTTTACACCCTACTGCACAAGATTGCTGTAAAAGTGAAATGAGAATGTGTGATTGGTCTTCCTTCCTTTACCATTTTGACTCTCACTTTTTGTGCTAAAAATAATTAACTCACAGTCAAATTAATCAGAAAAAATGTTTTGGCTACTGAATTGTATACTTATAAAATCTCAGAGTTGGAAAGGATCTCAGCGGTCATCTATTTGAATCCTACCTTATGACATCTATACTATTTTTGTGAAGTATTATTTAAATCTTGAATTATTATTTAGTTTTCTTCATGTTTTGCCACTCTGACTTTAGGGAAGTCACTTCATCTATCTTGCCTCTCCAACCAGGTTATAAGGGGCAGGTACCATGTCTTAACCTCCCTTTTTTTCTCACATCTTCTACTTTAGGACCTTGCACATGTTTCTGTGAATTAAGGATGCACAAAAGGTTTAGACTCTTCAGGCAGTTATTTTCTTTCTAGCTGTTCTCCTTATTCTCATTCAAAATTCTTCCTGGCTTTACCTTATGAAGATGTTTGTTTTTGTGTTTACTGTAATTTGTTGAACAATTCACTAATTTGATAACAGAGGCTCTTGTTATTCAATACATATGTTAAAATGTTTTCACTGCTTCAGTGAATCTGGGATGTTACTGGTGTGGCCCCTTCTGCTGTTGGGGTGGTCTAAACCCTAGCTACACCTTACCATTCTTAACTCTTAGCCAGGGTCTCTGGGGAATGTGGTCTCTCAGGAGACTCTCGAATGTACCCCAGGCCCTCCACTCTGTCTCCTTCAACCATACAGCTCTGGGGCACAGCCAGCTCTCCATGCTTGTTCCATGACTCTGTGCTTGATCCATTGTAGTTTACAAAGACCATACAGTGGTTTGCAAGTTTACAAATCAGAAAGAATTTTCCCACTTGATGGACTTTTTTGGAAAACTTTAACTCTAGCATTCTTATTTGTAAAGCATTTTAGTTCTTGCTCAGCAATATCAAGAGCTTTCATTGTATTATGACTTGGTTGGTTTAAAAGGTTTTGATAACAAAAAATATTATTTCAATAAAAACTTAATTTACTTCATCGAGAATAATCATAATATACCTATGTTTACCAATATTCTTTAATTACTCTTTTCTTTATATAGGAATATGAAGAAGAAGCTGGACGACCTCACAAACCTCTTTCTCCTAAACAGAATGTGAGGAAAAATCTTGATTTTGAACCACTTTCCACCACTGCTCTTATCCTAGAAGATAGACCAGCGTAAGTCTTAGTGAGATTTCGTATTTCTCATTATAAATAAGTTAGATAGTATGTTTCATAAAGGAAACCATAAAGTAAGCCATTGGCAACCTCTCCCAAACAAAGGTATAAGATTTACTCTTGCTTAAAAATGTGTTCTATAACTATGGAAACTGTGTAACAAGAAGGATTTTGGAAACTACCCTATAACATTTATTTTTACTACTGTGAGGCATTTATAATCCTAGAAAGGTACGTGAGATGTGTCCGAGGACCTGGACTTGCGTCCTGCCTCCAGCTCTGTGGCGTTGGGGAACAGAGATGTCACACGTCAGTGCTTTAGCTGACCTTCCCTAGCGGGCTGGGAAGCGCCCTGCAAGTGGAATCTTCAGACCTAGATTGTCTCTTCTACTTAATGACTATGATTTATCATTATCTTGAGTAAATTGATGACATTTTCGAGCTTCAGTTTTTTTACCTGCAAGGTGAAAGGATTGCACTAAATGATCCCTAATGACTGTTCTGTTTTGAAAATCCTTTGATCCAATGCCCTGTCTGATGAAGTTACTATATAAATGTGAGTAGCTGGTGGTGGCCAACAAATTCTATTCAAGCATTTATAAGATATTTCAACTTTACTGTATTTTTCACTATGCATTTTTGCTGATGGCTCATCTTGACATATGCTTCCAGTTAAGGCATCCAGATTGTCTTTAAATATAATAAAAGTAGAAATGTATTAGTATGTGTGTTCTGTATTAAGAGATTTAATAGATTAATATTCTTATTAGGTTTTGGTGAATGATTTTTTCTCAAACCTTAAAAATTTTAAATGATAACAATATGAACCATCAGTAAAAGTGAATTGTACTGCTGCGCACAGTACATGTCATATTTGCTAGGGAGGATGAGTTGCTCTATCTTACTCATGTAGCAGATTCTATTTCTTCTCAATAATTTAAATCCTTGTAATAGAGAAGGCCTTGAAGCAGCCTAAGTGGTAGAGTACATAAACTGGGACATACCTGACAAACTGGGTTCTTTTTTCTTCCCTGAAATGAAATAATTTACATGTCAGACATTTCTTGACTATTGTTGTGGCATGCATTATTTAGTAATAATAAATAAATTTTAAATAAATAAATTTTAAAATTTAACCTTTTAGATAAAGCGCTGGAAGAGTTTACCTTTAGGCGAAAAGGTGTTGGCCTTGCTTTAATTTTTTTAGCTCACATATGTGAACATATAGTGTCAGACTTTACAGATTTAAAAATGATCAGGTAAGGTCTTGGGATTAGTGACTGGTAGTAACTCAGAACACAAAACTTTTGCAGCAAGGCCAAATTAAGGATTCTTTATAAAATATAAGGTACCACTTTTGTTTTATAAATATGGTTAGATTGCAGCTTTTTAAGTTTTTCATCTTTTAGGGATTAATGCTTTTCAGTTCTACACCTCTTCCCTCTCCCCCTGGCTATCACAACTTGAATTTGTTATTTATAATGGTGGAAAATACTTTCTTTTCTCTCTAGAAACCTCCCTGCAAAACCAGCTGAAGAAGCTCAGAAACATAGACAGCAATACGAAGAAATGGTGGTTCAGGCCAAAAAAAGAGGTAGAGTTATTTGTCATTGCCAATCTATTTAAAGTTTTAGGATCTAACGGCCATTTTAGGTGTTTCTTTTTTAAGTTTTAGAGTCTAGAAAGTTAAGCCTTGGTGATATGTGTGTATTTTAACATTTTGATTCTGTAAAATTTTAGATAGAAAATTTCCTTCACACATGACTTCCTTTAAAAAAAAATGTGTTATGAACCCAACTTTAAAGAATAACATCCAGTTAAATTTACATTTATAACTGATTAAAAAGAACTTCAGCCTATAGATGTTTAAAACAATTTGTCATTTATTCCTTCTATGTCCCCTTGCAGTGTTTTTTTTTTTGTCTGTTTGCCTGTTTTTGGTGCATAGTTTCTTTTTATGTGATTGAAGTCATACATTCATTCATCAAACATTTACTAAGCTTTTACTGTGTGCAGAAGATGGTGTGGAGCCCTGAAGAAGACTGAAAGTTTAGAGTAGTTAATCTGTATTCTTGTCTTGTTCTGTCTTTAACTTCAGTTATTTCCATACGTCTTTTGAATACCTAGTACTTAATGTTTGTTGAATATTTATATTCATCACAATTGTTACTCTAATTGTGTTATGTTAAAATCTCACTTTTTTGGCTTTCGATGTCCCTAACCTCTCAGTCAGTCATTTAGCAAATCCTCGAGATGCCACCTCTCTTCTCCACTACCACCACACTGGTACAATCCTTTGTCACTCTATGTGTGAGTCACTGTAATAGCCTCCTAATCGGTCCTGCTGTCACTTCCATTTTCTCTTCTTTTATGCCTATGTTTGGTTATGTCACTATTGCATTAAAAATATTCGGTAGTTACTTATTGCTTAGTGAATAAAATTCAAACTGTTGTGTTTGGTTTTTGAAGCCATCCGTAATTTGCTGCCACTTTTATATGTACAGCTTTATTTCAGATTATCCCCTTGTATGTAGTCTATGCTTTGGCCCAAATTGACTTCTTTTCTCTTTCCTAAATATTCTTCAGGTCTTTTCACCTCTGCCCCTTGGTTCACATTGTTCGCTCCACTTGGAATAACTGTGCTCTCTCTTTACCTTTGTAGACCCCAATTTAAATGACCTTTCTTTTAAAAAATATTCACCTGTCATTTTCTCACCAAGGGGCTTGTCAGTAGCAACTTTTCCCCAGAGAATTCATGTAGCACTCACGTTTGCAATTCCAATAAATTCAACATATAACATTATGTATCATAATTATCAGTCTTTTGTTTCTTATTCTCTGTTACATGGTAAACTTCTTGAGAGCAGACTTTGTATATCCCCGCAGTGTCTTGTACAAAATCCTTTAGGTATTTAATGTTGGTTGAATTAATCAGTATTAGCTGCATTATTTTCTGAATGCATTTTCTCATTATGTTTGTTAATAAGTATATTTTCTTGAATTGATACAGCTTAGGAGACAAAGTGGTGTAATGGGAAAATGTGGGATTGAAAATTGAGATTTGCGGTCTAGTTCCTCTGCTTCCGTTATTCAGTTGTGGGAATATCACTAGGCCTCTCTGGATCTCAATTTTTTCCATTGTAAAATGAGAGATTTCAGCAGGATGATCTTCTATGGTCCCTCCTAGCACTAACTGTCTATACAGAAAATGCTTTAAAGAAATACTTCCAAGAGTCTGACATAAAAAAGCATGTCTTTCTAGACATTTATTGTACAGTTGTTTTTATTAATATTGATTATCAGTATGTTTAGGCATATTCATAAGATAGCTATAGTCAACTCTGTGACTTTTTCTTGCTCATACTCATTTTATAGCAGTATAATTTTTGAAATTGTGTAAGTCTGATGGTTATCAATTAGTGTTTATTTTTCTTTTCTTTTTTTAAAAATTTAGAGATTAAAGAAGCACAGAGGAGGAAAAAGCAGCAGGAAGAGAGGTGTCGTTTGGAAGAAAGCATTGGAAATGCTGTCTTGGTCTGGAACAACGAAATTTTACCCAACTGGGAAACAATGTAAGAAAAGAAGAGAAATTGCTGTTTAATTTAAAACCATTTCTTTGGAGATAAGCTATTTTCATCAAGCAATATTTTTAATTGAAATTAATTTAATTGTTACTTATTGAATGTCAACTATGTATATCTATTCATTTTTAACAGAATTGGTTTCTGTTTTTAGGTCATGTGCTATATTTAATGTATTATTAGCTAGCCTGTTGTATTCATTCATGGTACAGTGGAAATAACATTGCATTTGGAGTCAGAAAACCTGAATTCAAGCAAAGTTTTGTTACTACTTGGGTAACCTTGGCCTGGTGACTCCCCGGAGATCTAATCATGCCTGTTTCTACTTCGTCACCATAACTGTGACTGGTAGGGTGTGATAAAGGAAAGAGCAGTGTGCTAGAAATCCAGGTGCCAAGATTTTATTCCTGATTCCACTACTTCTTAGTTGAATTATCTTGCACAAGTCATTTAACCTTACTGACCTCAAGTTTCTTTACCTGTAAAAATGTAATAATCATAAAATGTAATAATCATAGGATCTTAGAAGGTTCTTCAGAGACCATCTTGTCCAGCTTCCATTTTCCAGAGGAAGAAACTGAGGCCCTTGTCTGTTCTTCTTACCTCTCTCTGTTGTTTTGCATTTCAAATGAGATCATACGTGTGAAAGTGCCTTGAGATACTGTAAAGTATTTGTAAATGGGACTAAGAGTTTGAGCACTAAATACTTAATGATTAACAATGTTCCTCCTCTTAGAGTCCAGAAGCGCATTAGGCCATATAATTTCTTGCATGCAGATGGGAGAAGAGGTTTTATGTACAACACTGAAGTTCTCAGTGGGCCATATTCATGCACAATAGTAGAAGCTACTGTAGAATTGTTCACACAGTAACTTTTGGGTGAACTGATGTGCTGTGTGTAGAGCAAATGATACTTTGAAGTCTCTGCTAACCATATCACTGAGTGAATGAATGCGCAAAAGTTGATGAGTTGGACCGAAAGCTACAGGCCAGATCATTCTACCATCAGTTAAACAATCACAATCAGAATGGAGCTTTATTAATTTCACCCCTATTTAGATGCATTAATCCCATTCCCATGCCCCACAGCTTTAACAATAGCATGTGCTTATATAAAGTACCATAAAAGCATTGAAGTAGTGCTGGCTTGAATTTATGCTTCATTTTTACCCAGGTGGTGTTCTCGAAAAGTTCGAGAATTATGGTGGCAAGGCATTCCTCCAAGTGTGAGAGGTAAAGTCTGGAGCTTGGCAATAGGGAACGAGTTAAATATTACCCATGGTGAGTATCTTCTATTTTCCCTATGTATGCGTCATTCATACTGCAAATAATATTGCTTCCCTTTCCTTATCTAGTGTATTGTTAGGAAGATTAACTAGTAAGTAATGAACCTGAGAGTGCTAAGAGACACTAGGACAATGGACCGAGTTCTGAGACTGGCTTGTAATGCTTTGAGTTTTGCATTGTTGTCTTTGTTCTTTGACATTTCAACAAAAACCACCTGCTCTCCACCTGCTGTCTGCTGCTGCTTCTCTATTATATTGGCATAACAATTGTCTGCACCTCGAGTTAAGTTACAGTAGGTTAAATTACAGTAGGATCAATGATCACAGTCCTATTAAAAGACTCAGAAGTCTTTTAAACATCTTATTATCATCTTGTGAGTGGAGAATGGGAGCAGTGGGATAGAATCAGTCCAGTCAGCCAGCATTTGTTAAGCACTTGTTATGAGCTGGGTACGGGGTTAAGCACTGGGGACACAAAGACAGTCAAAAACAGTCCCTCCCTCAAGAGGCTCACAATCTGGTAAGGAGACAACATGCAAACTCTTATATACAAACAAGATAAATGCATGGTGACATGGAGGCGCGCTCAAAGGGAAGGTGTTAAGTGTTTCTTCTGCAAGAAAAGGTTTCTTGTAGAGGGTCTCATTTTAGCTGAGACTTAAAGGAAGTCAGGAGGTAGAGATGAGGAGGGAAAGCATTGTAAGTGTGGAATGCAGCCAGTGAAACTGGTGGGAGGTGGGAGAGGAAGTGTTTTGTGAGCGGAAAAAGCAAGGGAGCCAGAGACAGTAGTAGCATAGAGTATATGGGGAGAGTAAGGTGTAAAAAGGTAGGAAGGGCTTTGAAAGCCAAACAGATGATCTTCTATTTGATTCTAGAGGAAACTGGGGGCCACTGGAATTTAATGAGTGATGTGGTCAGACTTCTTGTGGTTTAGGAAGATTGCCTTTATGACCAAGTGGAAGATGGACTACAGTGAATGAATGAGTGAGCAAATAAAACATTTATTAAGTGCTTAGTGTATACAAAGCACTACCCTGGCACAGGGAATACAGTAGCAGGGTATGAGAGCCCCTGCTCTGAAGGAGCTCACATTCTAATTCTAATTCTAAATTCCTCCACAGCACAGGTAGAAGCCTTCAGTTGCCGGTCAAATGGGGATGTTCCCTTGCTCTTTAAAGTGCAAACAGAGCAGATGGGAATGCCTCTTCTTTAGTGTCATTTAAAGTGGGAACAGATTGAGGCAGGCAGACCCACCAGCAGCTATTGCAGTAGTCCAGGTGTGAGGGGAGGAAGGTCTGCACCACGTTCATGCCAGAGTCAGAGGAGAGAAGAGGGCGTGTGTGAGACTTTATGAAGGTAGAATTGACAAAGTTTGGCATCAGATTGGGGTGGTGTTGGTGGTGGCATGAGAATCTAGTGTGACACCAAGGTTGTGAGCCTGGGTGTCAGGGAGGATGGTGGTGCACTCAACAGGAATGAGGAAGTTAGGAAGAGAGGAGGGTTTGGGGGGAAAGATAATGAGTTCATCTGGACATGTTGAGTTTAAGATGTCTACATTAAGATGTCTAAGGGTGTCCAAAAGGCAGTTGGAGGTGCAAAACTGTAAGTCAGAAGTTAAGGATGTGTAAATAGAACTGAGAATCATAGAGATAATAATTGGATCTGTGAGATCTGATGAAATCGCTAAGTGAAGTAGTAGAGAGAAAGAAGAGAAGAGGACCTGGGCAGCGCTGTAGGGGATGAGACTCTTTAGGGGGACAGGAGTGAGTTTCTTCTAGTGGTGATACTATGTTTGTGGCACTCATTTCTCAGATTTTTCCATTCCATGAATATGTGTCAAGGACTGTAGGAGATAGGAAAATGAATACTGTGAAGTCCTTGAGTGCACATAGCTAGTTGTACTATAAGGCCGAAGATGATAATACCATAAAATGGGGACAAAGTCATATCAGAAATCAAGAAGGTAGATCACTTTTGACGGGGCTGTGGGATAAAAAAAAAAAGGCATTGTAGTTGGGTCTTGAAGAATCAGTGTAATTCCAGAAGTAGATGGAGATACGTCAGGAGCTAAAGAAGTTGGGGCACATGGAATAGCATGAACCCAGGCACTGGGGTGTCAGAATATGGGTCATGTTTGCAGAATTCTGAGTAGTCATTTTGCTGGAGTATAGAGTGCATGTCTGAGTTTAGAGGAGGAGAGGGGAACGAAGAACGTTGAGACATGCTGGAGCCAGATGTGAAGGATCTTGAGTGGCAGACCAAAAAAAACCCCAAAAAACCCAAAAAACCAAATCATATGTGGGTTGTTTGGTAGGCGGTAGTAATGTGACCAGCACAGTGCTTTCAGAAGGTCAAAGTGGAAGCATAGTCTAGAGAATTTTGGAATAGGAAGAAGCTAGAGGTGGTAAATAAATTAGAAGTTATTTGAAACACAGTCCAAGAGAGAACTAATGGGGACCTGAACTGTGGTGGTGGTGTTGGGAATGGAAAGAGGGTATGAGGGCAAGGCTTTGGGGGGCATTTCCTCTTTTTCAGTGCTCTGTCTGAGCAGAGACGGTTCTGACATTTTGAGCCTTTGTAACTGGGAAGATGATAGTGCCATTGACAGAATGGGAGGGCTGGAAGAGAAGAGAAGCTGATTTTTAGTGATGATGAGTTCACTTTGATTTGAGTTGAATAGTTAGGTTACGTTTGAGCTTCCTCAGTGAAAAATCGTGTGTATATTTTTCTTCTGATTCTGGTTGTGTCAGTTCATGCACATCATCTGCTATTTCTCAGAATTCCTCCTGTTCATCATTTCTTCCTACGTAATAATACTGTATTGTATAACTGCTCTTAAGCTGTTTCACATCATAGTTTTGAGGGAATGTACTTTATTTATTTATTTATTTATTTATTTTGGTTAGGGGATTGGGATTAAGTGACTTGCCCAGAGTCACACAGCTAGTGAGCGTTATGTATCTGAGGCTGGATTTGAGCTCAGGTCCTCCTGACTCCAGGACCAGTGCTAGAATATACTTTAGCAGGGGTTTCTTCTGTGTGTTTGATTGTGTCAGCTATCATCCCTCCAGGCTTCATGCCATCTGTAGATTTGTTAACTACTCTATAGGTGCTTTCATCCAAGGTGTTGATAAAAATATTGGACAGCAGAGCACTAAAGACATATCTCTCAGGTATACCCCAGTAATGAACACCTTCCAAGTTGATGTCAACTGATTTGTGACTACTGTACTTTTTTGGTTCAATTATTCAATCAGTTCCAAATCTACTTAACATTCATCAGGTAGCCCATATATTTTCATCTTATTCACATTTATAACATTGTCAGATGCTTTGATGAAATCCATATCCAAATCTACAGCATTCCTCTGATTTGCCAGTATAGTTGCCCTTTTAGAAAAGACAGTAAGGTTGTGCTGGCGTAACCTTTGCTTGATGAAGCCTTGTTGACTTTTTAGTAATCACTGCTTTCTTTTTTATGTGCTTGGAGAACTTCCCTTTATTAATTTCTTCTAAAACCCTGCCAGGAATAAAGTAGACATCAGGCTCATCATTGGCTTATAGTTTTCAGATTCCACCATTTTGTTTTAAAAATTGACCTTCTTTAGTTCTGCCTCCTATTCTCCACAATCTTTCAAAGATTATAGCAGCTTAGCAATCACATCTGTCTGTTCCTTCAGGACTCTAGAAAATAGTTCTTCTGGACCTGGTGACTTGAGATTATAAAGGGCATCTAGAGGCCATCTGGACATCTCTTTACTTACCTTAGCTTTTTGTTTTCTGCGAACTGTTTCTGTTCTCTTCCCAGGCCAGACCTTCCCCTCTCCCTCCTTTTTGAAAACAGAAAACACTGAGCAGACAAAGTTGAGAAGTAGCTTAGTCTTTTCCTTGTCACCTGCTATCATGCCCCAGTGGACTTAAACCCTTTGTTATCCTTGTTAGCATTCATTATTAGGCTTGGTGCATTCTTATCTTTAATTTTCCTGACACAATCCTTAGAAGATCAGGCTGCTCTTTTGTATTTATGTCCATTTAAGATCTGAGTTGAATGTTGAATTCCTCATACATACCCATTAGCATTTTTTAGACTGTTGTAAAGGGCAGCCAGGTGGTACAGCGGATACAGCAGAAGACTTGGAGTTAGGAGGACCTGAATTGGAATTCTGCTTCAGATAATGACTTAAGTTACTCAACCTCTCTCTGTGCCTCAGTTTCTTCATCTGTAAAATAGGAATAATAATAACACCTGTGTCACAAGGATTGTTGCAAGAGTTAAAGTACGCTTATGGAAGGAAATGTTGAAAACTAAAAATAAGTAGATTTTTAAAAAAAGAGTTAAAGTATGTAAAGTGCTGTGCAAACTTTAAAGTGCTATGTAAATGCTAGCTATTATAATTCTTGCTCTCCTTTTCAGAGTAATTTCTGCTTCTGCCTAAATAGTGTCATTCTTGAGAGCTTTCCATCACATTTGTGCTAATTTCCCTTGTAAAAATATTAGGTCATTGGATCCTCCCTATCCTTTCTGTGAAGCATTTGAAAATAGCTCTTCCAAAATCCAAGGTGCATGTCAAATTACATCTGCCCCTTTCCTTCTCAATTGTGAATCCTTCTTAACTCTTTTCCCTAAGCTTTCTGCTCTTTTTTGCTTTAGGAACCAGGTTCTTATACTTTTTGAGGCTTAGTTTCTTTAATTATAAATTCAAAGAAATTAAGGAAAACTTAATTTCCATAATTATGAAAAAGGTAATGACATCTAGAAATACTTACCTCATGGAGCTGGTATAAAGAATCATTGAGGGGACATATGTAAAATGCTTTGCAAATCTGAAAGCACTTTTTGGGGTGAGGCAATGGGGTAAAGTGACTTGTTCAGGGCCAGTGCTCTATCCACGGTGCCATCTAGCTGCCCCCCCCCTTTTTTTTGGTGAGGCAATTGGGGTTAAGTGATTGGCCTAGAGTCACTCACACAGCTAGTGAATGTTATGTGTCTGAAGCTGGATTTGAATTCAGGGCCGGTGCTCTATCTGCTTCACCACCTAGCTGTTCCTGAAAGGACTCTAAAATGTTAACTCTTATTATCATTATTTATCCTTGGTCAGAATTTGGTCAAGAATAAAATTTTTCCTTCTTGCTTTATCTTTTGAAGGATGAAATGATCATTAAGGTAAATCACAACTTTGTAAGCTACTCTGCTTTGGACACAGAGAGAACCTCTAACATACGTTTGGATCATTAAAGTTCCCATTACTTCATTATTATGTTTCTGTATTCACTTTTTTATCTATTTCCCAACTGCTTTATCTAATTTCTTCTCTAAGTCTCCTACCTAAAATTGCTTCTTTCCATCATGGTTCCCCACTGTGGGTTGCTGGATTTTGTCACAGGAGTGCATCTTCTTAATATAGGATGCTGCTCTACCTGTCTCTTTTATATGTTCTGTTCCTTTTTAATAAAGTACTTCCAGAGCTATAATTCAGTCATGAATCCCATCTCACCTCATTGATATCTGTGAGTTCATTTGTCTTGTGTTAGAATCTACTCTGTTGATTCCCCATGCTTTATTCATTTGTGTATGGAACAACAGATATTTAAGAGTATGGGTTTTATTGCTGGATGTCTATTTATTTTATTGTTGGATGTCTTCTTGGATATTATCTTACATGGATATTATCTTACATGTATAATTGATTCTCTTTTCTGCTATTTCTCTGTTGTCTCTGCTACTATCTACCAGGACCAGCTGGATTTATCAGATCTGAGTAAGCAGTTCCTGCCTTCCCTTTCCTGTCTTAAGTTTAAAGCTTTCTTGATTAGCATGGTCAATCTTGTATATCTTTTCAAGACAAATGAATTATGAAATACACCTAAGAAAGTGGGTGTATGTTAATCTTAGCTAAAACTTGCAACATATTTGCACTTCTACTCCTGACCTTGGCATTGATTCATTCTTACATTTTCTGAAAAGTCATTCAGAATGAAGTCATTCAGAATAAAGAATGAATCCCTAATGTAATCTGACTTCCTTTAGTGTGATCAGGGTCTTCCTCGATCAGTTGTTTTACTAGTTCCATTTGCAATGATCTTTGTCATTAATAGCCATTTTGCTTCTTTCTTTGACTTCAGCCTTCACACAGTTACCAAAATACTCTTGTTAATGAACAAATCTGACTCTGTCCCTTCAGTTTGTTTCTGCTGTCTGTGGGATAAACTAAAATTTACTTAGCATTTAAAACCCTCCTGCAGGTTGCCTTCAACCTGCCTTATTTCATATTACTCCTCTTCACACAACCTGTTCCATTCAAACTCAACTACTAGTTAGTCCCCAATTTCCTGCTGTCTCTCCCATCTTTAATTGTTGGTGCTGGCTGACCCTCTCCCCCATCTCGAACTGTTGAAATCTCTTTCTTCAAGGCTTATCAGCTGCTAACTTCTTCATAAAGGCCTTTTTAAATTTTCCTAGCTGAAACTATTTCCTGCCTCCTAAAATGTTCCTAGAATATCTTTGACTGTATCTTTCCTTTTTGTGTATCAGCACTTTGCCTTGTGATTTATACTTCTCTCTGTGCCATATACTCTGCCATGCTTCTAGCTCCATACTTTTGTGTAATTGGTATTTAGTATGTGCTTTTTGACATGGAATTCTTTTAGAGCAGTAAGATGCAGGGTCTTAACTCTTCCTTATTTTCCTCTTCCCTTAATTTTATTTTTTATTGGTATGGAACTAGGAGAAAGGAAGAAACCTACAGCAGAAGATCAGCAAGTCCCCTTTATTCTCTTGTTAGGGTGAGGAGGTTCATCTTATGGGTATAATTTGAAAGCATGGAATACTTTGAGGCTAGTTTTTTTTAAACAGTATTTTAATAAGTAGGCTTCAGCTTACTTTAAAAAGTAAACTTCAGTCTACTTACTAAAGTATTTTAAATACTGGAAAATATTTCTAAGTATTTTGACTTTTTTCCCCTCAAGTATTAGCAACTGATATATATTAAATGAGTTTTTTTTAAATTAAATTTTATTTTATTTTCATTTCCAAATTCTCTCCCTATTCTTCTTCTTCCCCACCCATTGAGAAAGCAAGAAAAACAAAACCCATTACAAAATTGTGAAGTCAAGCAAAACAAAGTTGAGCATTAGCCATATTCTAAAAAAGAAAGAAAAAAGAAATAAAGAGAAGAAAATGTGCGTCATTCTGCACGGTGAGTCCATTAGTTCTCTAAGTGGAGGTGCATAGCATGTTTCATCATGAGTCCTTTGGAATTGTGATTGGTAATTGTGTTGATCAGAAATACTAGGTCTTCCAAAGTTGGTTATCTCTACTGTTGCTGTTACTTTATAAATTGTTCTCTTAGTTTTGCTCACTTCATTAAATGGTTTTAAAAATAATTTAATTTCTTTCAGAACTCTATGACATTTGCCTTGCTCGAGCCAAGGAAAAGTGGCGGTCCCTCAGTGCTGGGGCCTCTGAAGCAGAGAATGAAGGTATGTCTGTATGTGAATTGTGTGAATTTAGCACACAATTAATGCTGTCATTAACAGTGTGCATTAAAAAATAAATTAGTGATTTATTTAATTGGATTTTAACTTTTTTCTTAATTTAAAAGTAAAACTAAAATTTATGAAGATTATTAGGGATTGGAAAAGAATATGTACAGTACTGTTTAGGAACAAGGATTTTTAAATAAGACAATAAAGCTTTTTATAGTAAGTGTAACATAACCATTCTGGTTCTAAGTGAAATTCTCATGTGTGAGTATGCAAACTCTTGTGTACAACCAGTAGTTTTCCCTTTTCAAGTTATTCACATCATTTATAACAGTATCAACGATAGAGTCTAGAGCTTCATGATATAGAATTGATTTCTAGAGAAATGTATTATACTTCCCCAAAGGAAAACTGCACAGATGCTAAAACATTCTTAGAAATCTTCCAGGGCAATGTGGCATTACCATTTTGTTATTTTAAAGGTATGTCTGTGTGGTATTTGAGCCCAGAGAGCAAAAAAATAAACCAGAAATGTCCTAGATGACATTTCAAGTAGCTGCAGTTCAGTGTCATTTTGTAGGAAGACTGCTTTCTAACTAGCAGTCCTAAAACGGACTTGAAACTTGAATTATATTATTATAGCATTTCTCACATAGAATTAATTCGAATAGTGAATACATTTTCCTGGCTTAACACTTGAACATTTCTTAGTTATAAGATTTTACTAGTGGTAAAAATGATAGCAAAGAAAATCTGAGATTTGCAAAGCAAATCTGTGAAAAAATTCCTAAACATTTGAGATCTTAGTCACAAATAGATTTGGAAATATAGTTCCAAGTTAGAAAATATTTATTTTTTATTTTTAATTATAACTAGTTCCAGTTCTAATTGTTAAAATACTAATATTATTATATTCCTATAGTTTTGTAGCTAATGAAGAACTTTGACAAATCACTCAGTTTCTAAAGTGCTGGAAAATACCTCACAATGCTCCAGTAATAAGTTGATTTTCAGACTTCTGATTTGGACAGAAGTAAACTGTAAATCCACATGGATCTTGGTTTAAAAATGTCATGTTGTGTTAAAAATAAACTCACTTTGTGAGAATGGTTATGGTACTTACTTTTATGTTCAGGTAGTGTGGTATATTAGAAAGATCTATATTCTTGTTCTGGTACACTGCCTCTTGCTTTGTGTCACTCAAATCTTTGCCCTCTTCTTTATTTTGCAAGATGAAAAGAGAATAACTTTGATCTTCTTTAAAAAATGAATCATTACTATTTTTAAAGCTAATTCCTACTTGATTTAAAATATAAGTGTACTTACTAAGAATCCATTAGTGACATACAGTTACAAACCCCTGGTGCTTATCAATATTAACATATCTGTTTCTTATATTCGTTGTTATTCTTTGTTTTTGATAGATACAAGTTTTTCTGCAGCTGACAGAGAAGCCTCTCTGGAACTAATCAAACTGGACATTTCTAGAACATTTCCTAATCTCTGTATTTTCCAGCAAGTAAGTGGTATATATTAGTTATTTTTACACCAGTGGTTTTTGCTTAAAATTTGAAGATGATGAACTATACAGTTTTATAAATGAAATATCAGAATATACTACTTCCCAGTTTTTAAAAATTCTATCTTTAATGATATAGAAACGCTTTATTTATAATATTTAAACACTTATTTATTGACACATTTAACTGCTTGCCTTCACCACATTTTAGGCATATATCTCAGCGTGTATTGATTAACACCACCATGTATGTGCATCAGAGGTTTGCTGTGTCTGAGAATAGATGAAATGGACATCTTTGCACATCCTTTTGGGTCTATAGAATGAAGATGTAGTATTTTGAAAGGCACATGTTCAGAGTGAGCTAATCAGTCAAACAACATTTAAGTGCTTACTGTGTGCCAGGCACTGCACTAAGCATTCAGGTTACAAAGAAGGTAAAAACAGTCCCTTACTTCAAGGAGTTCACATTGTAATAGGAGAGACAACATGTCAGTAACTAAGTACCCACATAGAGGGTACTGGGAGATGCTTACATTCTATCCAGACCTCTATAGGGTGGTGTTATGGGTTTGGAATATGAAAGCCCCAAATAGTAAGCTCATTTCCTTATGCAAATTGCACTTGTAGCTCTGAACCTAACCCATGACCCATGCTCTGAATCCATCCTTGGCTTAATTTCTTGTAGCACAGATCCTGGCACATAATTGATACTTAATAAAAGAGTGTTGTTTGAGAGTTTCATTGGTAATATCTTTATCAGTGCAAATTGGTGTTGTCTCTGCAACTTAGACTCTTAGTTGCTTGAGGTACTGAGAGGCCAAGTGATTTTTCCAAGATCATATAGCCAGTATATTTTCATAATGTACTGAAAGTAGCAGGTTTAAAAAATGTATGCTGAAACTGAAATACAGATAAACCCTATCAAGGAAAGCAGGGGAACATCTTTTTCTACCACTAGCAAAGATGTAAAGGGGAGTAGTTGCTAGATGGAATACCAGGGTGAAGTGAAATTTTTTTAAGATGGGGACATCTGAGCATCTTTGAATGTAAAAGTAAAGAGCCCTTGGAAAAAGAGAAATAGAAGATTCTATAAAGAGAGAAGTACTTATAAAAGATATGTCTTAGAGGAAGAAGGGATAGAATCTAGAGTACAGGGAGAGAGAGATCAACAAGGATGGTCTTATTAAATGGTAGTTTCATCACTTTGTTGTTTTCCACATTTAATAAAATTTTGTGCTCCCTACTGTTGATATTTGTAAAAGCAAGTGGATTGAGCTTTCGATGTCTCTCAAAGAAAACCTACCAAACTGTATTGCTGTTTACTTGTGTGTGGGTTCTCCACTCCTGTTCTAAGTGGTGAATGTGTGCTAGTAATACACAGTAGTTGAAGGGAGGGGAGAAAAACTGGTGCCTTCATGTATTTTGAAATAACAGGGGATTAGCTGTAGGGTTAATTTGTGAGATTGTACTTCCTACATGTGACAATAGCTACATAGGTAAAGAAAGGAAGGTGAAACTGAGACGGCAGAAAGGAAAGGGCAGGCAGAATTCATTGAGAAGTGTAAGAAACAGAAGTTGAGAACGGTGAAAAAACAGAATGAGGAACAACAAAACACTTGTGTATATTATATGTATGTTTTAGATACAGCTTATTTTTTTCTGTTCTGAAAAAGCATGTAGCTATGTAGGAGAAACCAAGCAAAGAGTGTAAGGCTAACATTCCAGCATTCAAACCTAACCTACTGCTTTTCTAAAGGGGCTAAGCTCCAAATTTTGTTAGTGAGATAACTTCATATGATTAACTATGGATTGCTGATAACCCATGTGAAAAGTTAACTCCCAGTACTAACCGTACTTATGCATGTGTTTTTTTGGTGTGTTGATTGTTATAGGGTGGTCCATATCATGACATGTTGCACAGTATTTTGGGCGCTTATACTTGTTACAGACCGGATGTTGGTTATGTAAGTGAAGTTATTCTTCAGTGTTTTGGGGTGGTATAAGCTGAACTGAAATAAAACTTTTTTTGTAGCATATTACAACAGAAAATCTCAAGTTAAATTACATGTTCTCATTGTTTTTAATAAGGAAGGAGAATGAGAAGTCTACTGATAAATGACCTGTCACAAATTGCAGAGTGCTATTATATGGTTCATCTTTGGGGTTAAAAAAGATAGGCAGGCTGACAGACATACAGAGAATAAGAAGGACTAGGGACAGACATAAATGAGGTTAGGGAAAAGAGCAAAGACAGATGAAGGTCATGAATACAGTCCCTGGTCCATCTTAGTGTTACCTACTAAGTTCTAGACGTTGAGTTTTAGTAGCGAGATTGATGGTGGGGGAAGGCAGACGGGAAAGGGGCTATTTATTTCCCTTGTAATGTGTTGGAATGGAGAGTGATATATTTTGAACCATAAGAACACCCAACTTTTAGTTTGCAAAATATAATAAAAACGTGCACTGTGAATGTATACATACCCATTTTGGTTGATACTAGTTTAATAATTTTTCTTCTTTTAGGTTCAGGGCATGTCATTTATAGCAGCAGTATTGATTCTGAACTTAGACACTGCAGATGCCTTTATTGCATTTTCTAATCTTTTGAATAAACCTTGTCAAATGGCTTTTTTTCGAGTGGACCATGGCCTTGTGAGTATTCTGTAGTTGCTGTAGTCATTTTTATGAGATGTTTCCCCTTTATTAGTGGTGTGCAAAAAACTGATTTTTATTGTCAATTACTCCTTGCTCTATCTACTTTACTTTGGTGCTCTGAAACTTTAAATAATTCAACTCATTACTGTTTAAAAAAACAAAAGGTCATTTTTTCCAGTAGCATTTATCAGAAGTGACATATAGCATAAGTATACCCTAATTATTGGCAAAATCAGACTGAATGATATTACCATAGGCTGTAGTTGACCACCAAGTTTTGTTAAGAGGGCATAGTAGCACAGTGCTACTTCTTTTATGAGTAACTGGGACCTGGAGTGAATTTGATTACAAAATTTTCAACTTACCCAGAGTAATCACCCTGTAATTGAATTACATCATCCTAGTAATTGTCGATTTCCAAACCTCACTTTAAGAAATGAAATTAGCTCAGATTTGAAAAGGTAAAGTGTAGTTCTTGGCTTATATTAGTTTTTAAAAATACTGGGAAAATATCCAAAATTTCCCGATATAAGTGATTATTAACTTTGTTGGCAGCACAGTTGTTGAAGTGCTAGACTTAGAGTCTGGAAAACTTATGGTCAAAATTCAGCTGCATACATTTATAGCTGTGTGACTGACCCTGAGCAAGACATTTAACCTTCTTCTAGCTAAATTTCTTCATCAGCAAAATGAAGATTAAAGCATCTTTGTTGTGAGAATAAAATGTTAATATTTCTAAGTATTAATATTTCTAAAGTGCTTTGCAAACCTTGAAGCACTATTTAAATGTTATTATGAAGTAAATTTAAAAGGTACAAGTTAGAATATCAGTTATTTAATATTATGTATTAGAAAATCCAGATGATTTGCAATCAGAAAACCTGAATTTCAATATTTGCTTTGCTCCTTATTAGCTGTGTGACTTACACAATAAACTTACTGTTTTCTCGGGCTTACTTTCCTCATCCATAAAATGAGAGTGCGGGAGTAACTGACCTTTCTATAATTCCTCTCAACTCTAAATCATATCCTATTAAGGAACTTTGTATTAAAGTTGCTGTTATTTAGTTTTTAAGATTTATTTCTTATTTGCATAAACGTTTCCAACCAAAAAATGTCTTCTTACAGATTGTTCATCGCTACTAAAAATATACCTTAATCAATTAGCTCATTTCATTTGTTGTCAATTTTATAACATTTTTTAGAGTGTAAAATATTTTAATGTGTTTGGCCATTTGTTAGGGGTAATAATGTAGAAGGGATTCCTGTGCTGGGGGGTAGATAAACTAAATGACCTCTAAGTTTCCATCACACTCTGGTTCTTTGATAGGTTTTTCCTTTAGAGAAGAAAGAGGATTCAGACTTCTTAAATCTAAGAATTAATGTCATTAAATTGGAAAAACACATATTTGCAGGTACACATGTAACCAGTTTAGCTTTTGTGTCAAATTGAGCTTGTTGAAGAAAAATATCAATACTAATACTGTACTCTGTGATTTAGGCTCATCTGTCAGAATCTTAATTTAACATTAACCTGTGTATCCAAGCCATTTCTAGCTTGGAGAGAGAGATGTCTCAGCTGGCATAGTCTTCCATTCCCTCTGACATAACTCTGTCTCAAAGGAAGATGTGAGGTAAATTTATAGAAATTTTGAACAAGGAAAAGATATGTTAAAATGTAATCTGTATTAATCTTCAAGTAGAGTTGAGGAACCAAGTTGCCTGGACCACTCCCCTTCCTCCTGAGCAAGCAAATGGACTTCTTTTTCACCCCATCTTAATCCTTTCTCTGTGGAGAGTAAAGGCAGGTTCTAGCACCAGTTACTTCAAGTGGGTGGGGAGGCAAGGATGTGACCAAACCTGAGTTACTCCTCTTAAAAGATTGGAAATCCCCCAATCCATTTTCTGAGAAAAGCCTTTTTATTGTCAACTTGTCACTTGCCTTTCCAAGGAGCTTTCCCCTAAGAATTTTAGAAAGAGTTTTAAAGTTTTAATATTCTGTTTTACTAAAAAGATTTTTTTAAAAAAATATACTTCTATAAACTAAAATCAGGTGTAAGCATATTTTATCTTGAAAGACCAATTCAGGTATTTGAGTTCTGGGGCACTATGCTTGGTGCTGTCTGGGATGCACAGACGAGATGATGTAGTATTGTCTAATACAGGTTGATTTTGTTTAATATATGCTTTTTGACCAAGATATGTAAAGTTAGCATTTTTGTATTTAATCATTTCCTACAGCCCTTTTTGTAGGAATACAAAACTATATGAGATGCAACAAAAAAGTAATTGTTCACGTAAAGGACTATTTTACTTTTATGAAAAATACACTTAATTCTGGCATAACGCCTTCTTTAAGAAGTTGGTCATGGGGATGCTTGATCTAGCACAACTATTTAAAAACCATGCAGCACCTCATTTCCCCTCTTTATTGAGGTGGGGGGTGGGGAGGCTGCTGATGTGGAATATTTCTTGGTTTTGCTGAACTATCCCTTTTCTCCCATTTTAAAATATCCTTGTTACAAGGAACAACTTGCTGGCTATGGAAGGAGGATTATATATTTGAAAATAAAATTATGTAAAAGCAAACGATATCAATAAAAATAAGATTAACAAATAAAAATGGTGTGACAGAAAGAGTACAAGTCTTGTAGTGAAAAGATGCATATTTTCAGCTTTTCTGCTTGGGAGCTTTGCAACCTTAGACAGGTCATGTAACTCTCTGAACTTCTTTCCTTCTCTGTAAAATGAGCCCTACTGTCTTCCTCAGGTTTGTTAAATATATATGGAAGTACCCCCCTTTCCCAGATACTAAAGCTTCATGTAAATGTAAGCAGGTACTTCTGTATTAATTCCTATGGAGCATGTGATGATGGTGGTGATATTAAAAGTAGCCCTCACAGTTGTTACCTTTTGGGTAACAATCAGAGTTTTCTACTGATACCAGCCAACATAAAGTTTAGCAGCCACAATGACTTTGTAAATACTAGCATAATTCTTTCCCAGAAAGAAACCAAGGAGATGCTTTTCCAGATAAAATAGTCTCCGGGTTTTTTTTTTTTTTTTGTTGTTGTTGTTGTTTTTTGTTTAACACAAAAAACATTATTGTTACTCTAAGCTGTTTCCAATGAATCCATGTTATGACCCTAAAAATTAATAGATTGGAATAATTCTTAAAGCTCATACCTTTCATGAACCATGTTGATTTTCTGTGATGATTGAATATGATAAATGAATATACATTAAACAAGGCTGACTTGTATCAATAATTTGTTTAGTATTGCATTTCACATTGTTTCCACAGATGTTGACATACTTTGCAGCATTTGAGGTGTTCTTTGAAGAAAATCTGCCAAAATTATTTGCCCATTTCAAGAAACATAACCTAACTCCAGACATCTATCTAATTGACTGGTAAGACTTAGAGATTTGTTCTGTGTTCATTTCCATACAAACTCCCCACTTTTTCTGGTTTAAGTTCTATCAAGGAGCAGCTCTTAATATATCTTTTACCATGAAGCCTTTCCCAGCTGTGTCAGTCCTAGGTGATCCCTTTACAGAGGAAAGCCAATCATCTCTGTCATTGTAAATTTATACCTTGCTTCTTCTTTCAAGCCATAACATCAGTGTTTTTAAAAGCACGATTTCTTGAATGGACAAAAGAGTTCCCTTGTGGAGGGTGAAATGTTGCCTACTAGAAGAATTATGGTGTAACCTTAGTAGTAGTAGAGTAGTTCAGCTGTCTTCTTAAGGATCACTTCTCTGCCAGTTTGCCTGGATGGATTTGTTGCTGTTGTCTGGAGCTCATAGGCTCATTAGGTTCCATGCAGTGTTTGTAAAGTGAAACAAAATGTTGATGCTTATGTCAGAAACCACTAATGACCAGTCCCTGAGCTTGGAAGTAGCCACTGTGGCACAATTAATATGTGGTCTCAGACCATTGATTGGAAAATGCTTATCTAGATTAGTGGTCTCCAAAGTAGGGGGCCACAGTATGGCCCTACAGGGTGCATAATCAGCCAGCCAGAGAGTGGGCATCTGGGTTGCATCTCACCCTCCCCATTTTAGCCAGTCTCTAAGCTTTTCTTCATCACAGCTATGCTTCATAGACCCTGTGCCCTTCATCACCATTGTAGCTGTGCCGGCTTCAAACCTCATCCTGTGTCCACTGAGCATTTCTGCCCAGAGCAGTTATCTTCTAGCCACAGCCATTGGCACTAGCAGCTACACGGGCAAAATCCCCCTCACTACTGATGTACCTAGGCTTTGCCCCCCAGGTTACTGAGGGTATTGCAGCAGGCAGTCCGGAGAACAGGACAGAGTTAGCTGCACAAAATGAGTAGGCTTGCAGCTCGATTTTTTCCCCTTTTCTCTTTTCCCTCAAACCCACTTTTCTTCTCAATTTTCCATTTTCTGTTCGGTTACTGCCATTCTTCTAGGGTCCAGGAACTGTCATCCTCACTCTCACTTCACATCCACAGTCACTTGCCAGATCTTGTTTCTATCTCTCCAGCATATCTTCCTTCCATTCATAGGACCACCACTGTCATTCAGGCCCGTTTCTCACCGTGAACCATTGCAGTAGCTGCTTTTTGGTCTGCATTCCTCAGGCCTGTCCTCACTCCAGTCCATCTTCCACTGGGCTGCCAAAGTGATTTTCCTAAAGCCAGATCAAAAGTCAGTAAGCATTTATTTATTAAGTTGGCTTACTTTGTGCCAGTCACTCTGCTAAGCACTAGAGATACAAAGAAAGGCAAAGTTCAAAATCTAATTGAGGGAGACAGTATGCAAACAATTAAACATGTAAACAATTGACATGTAGGATAAGTTAGTCGTTTCTTGCAGAAGATAGGATTTTAGCTGAGACATGAAAGAAGCTAGCGAAGCCTGGAGGCAGAAGTGAGGAAGGATAGAATTCCAGGCATAGAGGACAGCCAGGAAGATGGTGTCAGTGGATGGTAGGGTCTGTGGAGGGCAATGGGTACAAGAAAATGACAAGGGTAGGAAGGGGCCAAACAGAGGGTTTTATATGTGATCCTCGAGGTCATAGGGAATCACTGGAGTTTGTTGAATAGCGAGGACTTTGGACTTAGGTTGTGAGCCTGGGAGACTGGAAAATGATGGTGTCCTGGAAAGAGTTTGGAGAGGAGGAGGAGATAATGAGTTCAGTTTTAAACTTGTAAGGCCTTTGAGATACCCAGTAGGCAGTTGGAGAGTCAAAATTGGAAGTCAGGAAGAAGGTTGGGGTGGACAAATAGATCTGAGAATCATTTGTACAGAAATGGTCATTGAGTCCATGAGAGAAGATGAGGGGCAGAGAAGGTCTGATCAGATCTCCTCTACTTGGTAATCTCTAGTGGCTTCCTGTTAGCTCAGGGACCAGATGTTTGCCAGTTACAGCTCTTCACAACCTGGCTGCCTTGCCACTCCTCTTGCTCATTCCCCCCTCCATCTCCCCCCAGCACTCCATGGTCCAGTCTCACTGGCCTCCTTGCTGTTCCACAGTCTCCTGTCTCTGTGCCTTTGCATTGGATGCCCATCATGCCTGCTGTGCCCTCCCTTCTCACTTTTGCTGCATGGAATCCCTGGCTTCCTTCAGGATTTGGCTCTACTGTTGCCTTCTCCCTGTCCTGCCATCCCTAGCTGTAGTGTCCCCCACTCACCCGCAAGGCTACCTTTTATTCACAGTGTATATGGTCTGCATGTACTTATTTATATACAAGCTGCCTTCTCTGTTAGATTGCAGGCTCCTTGAGTGTAGGGAATGTTCTACTTCTGTCTTGGTATCATCTTCATGGCTTAGCAGAGTGCCTGGCATAAAGTAGGTGCTAAATAAATGCTTGTTGATTATTTGATAATGGCATGGATTTTAGCTTGGGCAGCTAGGTGGCGCAGTGGAGAGAGCTCCAGGCTGGAGTCAGGAAGTCCGGAATTCAGATGTGACCTCAGGCACTTACTAGTTGTGGGCAAGTCAGTTAACTTCTATTTGCTTCAGTTTCTTCATCTATAAAATGAGCTGGAGAAGGAAAAGGCAAACCACTCTAGGATCTTTGCCAAGAAATCCCCCAAAGGGATCACAGATTGTGAGACACAACTCTAAGATGACTGAACAGTGGCAACATCAGGTTGGGCCCCCAGAATAAGAAGAGCCAGTCAGTCACGCTCTAATTTAAATGTAATGTCCCCATAGTGCTCAAGAGATGGTGTGATATATATAGGAGGAGGAATACCTGACATGTTCTGGCATCTTGTTTAGGCACATTCCTGGGCAAGTCACTTAACTCCCATTTGTCTCAGTTGCCTCATCTATAAAATGGGAATAATAACAGCCCCTACCTCCCAGGGTGGTTGTGAGGATCAAATGAGATATTTGTAAAGTGCTTAGCACAGTGGCATGCCTGGGACACGGGAAGAGCTATGTAAATGTTAGCTAATATAATTGTTGTTATTCCTTCATCATACCTTTTTTTTGAACCCAAGTTTAGGATTTGACATTTATTCCTATACATTTTATCTTACTCTATTTGGCATATCATCGTAGACTGTCAGGATCTTTTTGGCCCAGAATTCTGTCATCTAATGTGCTAGCTACACCTTCTACCTCCGTGTCTTCCACAAATTTGATTAACTGGGTACATATGCTTTCATCAGGTCATTGACAAAAGGGCCTAACAGCATTGGGGTATAAGGACCTGTAGAAGGCAGAACCACACAATTCTTACTTGTTTCTGTTTGCTTTGCAAGCTTGAGGTGGGCAGCATGGCTCATTTCAGAGGGCACTAGTCTGGAGGCCAGGAAGGCAGGAGTTTATGTCTGACCTCTGACACTTACTGACTTCGATTCTGGGCAAGTCAGGTAAATGCTCAGTGCTCCAGGCAGCTTCCTAGGATTATCAAGTTGCATAAAAGGTGCTGACTTGCATTGCATTGGTAAAGTGAATTTCCTCATTCTTGTCAAATGAATAAATATTAACATTCAACTCTACATTTTAGGCACAGTTCTTCCAGGAACAATTTTTATTAATTTAACATTCTAAATTCAAGCATTGTTCTGTTTGGAAAAAAAAAATGCCTCAAGTCTTATAGATTCCTTGTGACTTCAGACAATTTGAAGTAATATTTATAGGAATCTTGAATAAGGAAAATGTCACAATATGGTAAAATATGGTTTGGGGTTAATCATCTGCTCTAATAGAATAATAGCCATTAATCTTATCTTAAAACCACTCAATTACTTCTTTGACTCTGCCCTTAAGGTTAGTCATAGCTCCAATCTTGTCTAGGGGTGGGGGGAAAGCAACTTCTTAACTAATCAAGTAAATTATTTTAAATTTGTCTACCATTCTTAGTCCATTTTCCCTGAGGATTTAGTTTTTGTTTTTGACCTTTTACATAATTTTGAAAAAGAAAAGCCTAGAAAGGGCTAGAGAATTATTTATTAATATTTTCAGTTGAACTAAAAAGGAACTTTTTAATACGGTTCTGCACACCAAAGTTCCTAGATATTACATCACAGGTTCAATCCCTATCTTTTCTTTGCAATGAATGGCCTTCAGACTCCAGAAGATAGAACAAAAATGGCTAACCAGGGAATCTAAACCCAAGATAACTGAGAATGTAATGGATGTAGTTGCTTTGAGTGAGTTTGGCTCTCCAGACCCAGATGAACTTGGGATATTCAACTTATAGGTGAAATAACTAGTTATCTTTGAAATATAATGGAAAACAAGTTAGGTACATGTGACATGTAGACATTTCCTGAATTTCTAAAGTGAAAAACAAATAATTTCTCTTGTGTCTGGAAACTCTAGATAATATTCCTGGGACTTTTCACTTTGGGTTTTCTTTCATGGGATAACTAGTGGACTCCATCTTCTTTTGCTCTCTGATTCTTATAAGATTTGGGAAGGGTTTTTTTTTCCGTAATGATTTCTTGAAATATAGATAGGCTCCTTTTTTTTTTATTATATCTTTCACATAGTCCAAAGATTCTAAAATTGTTTCTCCAGATCAGTTGTTTGTGACGTGAGATATCTTACATTTTCTTCTATTTTCCTTAGTCTTTTGACTTTGTTTTAATAATTCTTGTTTTTAATTTCTGTTTAATCTGTTCTAGTTTTTAAGGAGGTTGTTGCTTGGGCATGGTTTTGTATCTTTTATGCTAAGCTGTTAATTTTCTCTTTTTTTTTTTTATGAGGCAGTTGGGGTTAAGTGATTTGCCCAAAGTCACATAGCTAGTGTTATTTGTCTGAGGTCAGATTTGAACTCAGGTCCTTCTGACTCTAGAGCTGGTGCTCTATCCACTGTACCACCTAGCTGCCCCCCTGTTACTTCTTTTTTTAAAGTTTTTCTTCCAGAGTTCTTATCTTTTGCATCTTTTTTTCCTCTACTGTTCTTATTTCTTCTAAGTTGCCT